GTATTAACTGTGTTGATGGATCTATGATAAGGATATCTTCTGTCTGCTAGATGGTCTCAGACACATCTCCTGTCACAGATTGCAGAGCCAGTATACATAGCCCAGGAAAGAGCCAGCAGATGGGGATGTCTCTCCTGGTATGCTGTAGCTGGGATAGGGTGTGTGCGCGTGCTGGTGCACATATGCGCTGGCCCCCTCTGGCTTTAATCCCTCTTGCCAGTTTGTCCAACACTGGAGATGGAGCAATATGAAAGATGCAGCAGTGTAGATTTTGCTGAGCTGCACAAACTTGCCAGCAATACTAAATACCTCATCAACAATCAGCAACACGAACTACACCATTACTGGACTAGATAAGGCAGATTATAACATCTGAGGTGCATCAGCTGTTTTCTACCAATGTTATATAAGCTATCCCCTGCTTACAGTGCTCCTCTTCTGTCTACACTGGAAAGACAGGGCAATCACTACATGACAGAATGGATGAATACCAATTTGACATCAATTCCAGAAGACACACATGCCTGTGACACACACTTTAAGCTCCCTGGACAGTCTATTGCTGACCACAGAATAGCTGTTTTTAGACAATCAAACTTTTAAAACCAACTGAATGGGAAACTGCAGAACAAGGAATCATCCACAAACTAGATTGTGTTAAGAATGGTCTAAACCAATGTTTCTCAGCCTTTATAGACTCCAGATGCTTCTCGATTGACTCAAAACTCCTTTAAAAAAGCCAGCTCTTAGATTTTGCTCCCTTTTTTGATTATGGAAAAATAATAGAGAAATTCTGTTGCAAAGAACTCATAAAGACCACAACAGGTTCCAGAAGGTTTTTGATGCTATGGAGTCCTATTTGAAATCTCCAGGTTTATCTTTATGAATCATGTGTAGGTGCTTGCACACCTAACAGTGTTAATATTGAGGAGTATCCTGTAGCACACTTAAAAGGAACTCGTAGCACCTTGGTTGATAATCACTGGTCTAAACTCTAAACAAAGACTACAGGTTATTAATCCCATTACCTCAATTATCTTTTATAATCCCTATGTCCCTCAATGGGTTAGCTGTTTTGTTTTTCTCTCCTACCCACATTGACTACAAAGGGTTGTGAATGGGGAGGAAAAAGGAGCCAGCGCTTCTGGGAGTCAATCACAGCTTTCTATTTAGAAGCTCTGCTTCCTGCAGTCCCTTCACAGCACCTGATGAAGTTAGCAGCTGCTTAAGAAAGCATATGTATTTTTGATTTAGTTAGTTTGTAAGGTGCAAACCTACCCTGCCTTCTGCCTGACTCACGACTAACTACCTCTCTCAACCCGAAATACTAACTTGGGCAGCTCAGTTTTCCACATCAAGAACACAGGATTGGGAAGGAGTCTGTGGGCCATTGCGTCCATTCCCCTGGTAGTGCAGGAGACCAAGCTATGTCATTCCATGTATAATCCTAAAGACTGTTTGGTTCTTTCTCCCCATTTCCCCTGTTGGGAGACTGGTCCAGAATCCCCCTGCTTTGATGATAAGAAAACACCCTTTAACTTTTGGTTTGTGTTCCTGGCCACTTTGTCACCAGTGTTAGTAAGAGATATAAACTCCAGCTGAGATGCGAGGATCCAAGATGCAGTCACAGCTCTGGCAGAGTGCAAACCTACCCTCAGAGTCTGTTCTCTAGGTGTGGCTTTGAACTGCTGCCTCCCATCCTCAGCAATCATGAAGGATCCAGTGGAGGGGCATATCTGCTCAGGAATCACTCTCTCTCCTGGAGCCTGTTCCATGCCCAGTTTCAGCACCCTCTTTGGGTGACATCAGAGCAAGTTGCTGGGAGAAGGGGATGTTACAAAGGTCTCTGCTGTCTGCACTTGGTGGGCTTGGTGTCCCCTTTTTCTCAGCCATTTTGCTGAGAACTGATGCAATAGTCATGATCAGAGAAAATAATTAAAAGCAGAGGGAAAATGGCAGAGGAACTGAACTAGCTCTGAGCACAGCTTGCAGCAGGGGGTAAGAAGCAGACTTCCACACACCTGACCTTAACAGAGCCCTGGCCATCCCCTAGCTTGCATCTGCAATGCAGGCAGGAAGTGAATCACTACGTGACAAGGCTAAGGTGCTAGACATTCCCACGCAGGGGCCCAGGCCCCTGACTCAGCAGGACGTGTCGCTGGGGCCAATTTGGTAGGACACCAGCACACCATGGCTGCTAGGCTCTGGGTGTCTCTTCCCCACAAGCAGCACCTCCTTTATTTACAAGTCACGGGGAAAACACTGGACTGACCACCTTCCCCTTCCCCTACACATGGAGAGCCCAGTGCCACCTTTTCCACTAGGGAAGAGGCTCTCAGGATCCAGCAGCACCGGGCCTGAGAATGGCTAGCAGGCCTGAGAGCCCAGGACTCCCCATGGTTATTTGCTGCTCCAAACGCCCCACTTCCCTACCCCCCATCACTGGGGCCTTGCCTGTCCCAGAGAGAGGTCTTTTCAGCCTCCAGACCCCCTGTAAAGTGCTGAAGCTGCCTGGAATCATCCTCTTCTGCTTTGCTTGTGTTATCTGTGACACTTCTTTCTCCTTGGAAAGGAAGGGCCTGGAAGGAGCATGGGGAGGGAGATCTCCCAGTCTGCAGAAGGGCAGACAAAGGCCACAAGCTGAAGCATCTCCCTGCTCTGCTTCTGCAAGGATGTTACCTTCAGCTGAGGAAGCAGGTCAGATCAGTAATAAAAGCCTGGTGGGATCCTAGGGGCTGCTGTGACAGCAGAATGACCCCCATGAGAAGTACTGTCATGGCAAGGATGCTCCCTTGGGGTCTCTGCAGCTGGGCAAGGATGCTCCCTTAGGATCTCTGCAGCCGGGCAAGGATGCTCCCTTGGGATCACTGCAGCCAAGCAAGGATGCTCCCTTGGGATCACTGCAGCAGCTGGGACAGCGAGTGCTGCGCTGGCCAGGGCAGGCCTGGGGAGTGTGGCTGCACCACGACAGCGTTGAGGCCTGTGTGAGGGAGTCGGGCCTTGTTTTCTTTACGCCTTACTGCAGTGAGTCCCAGGACCTGGCTGCCTGCCCACAATTAGGAAGAGCAAAGGAATGAAGCTCCGCTTGGGCCAGTCTGTGCAAAATGCCCAAATATGGACATTTCTCTGGGTTTCAAGAAACCAGCTCCAGAGCCAGGCATGCCGCAGCCCTTAGCAACAGCATATACTGCAGGGTACGGGGCTGACGCACATGCTTCACCTGAAGGGCATGGCGAGTTGACAGTGAGATGCAGACGGAGCCCTCCTGGCCTGGTGCAACCTCTACTTTGCACAGCAAAATCTGTCTGTGCACATGCACATGTACATGTGCACACACTTGCTTGCGGGGGGTGCATGCACATGTACATATATATGGGGGGGTGCATGCACATGTACATATATGTGTTGCGTGTTTAGAGTTGCATGTTTAGAGTGGCCTGCAAGCAACACCTGGAGTGGTGTCCTGCTGCATTTGGCTATGACTTCAAGGCACGTGGTTTTTACCCCAGCTTGTTAGATGGAGCCTTTTCCATGTTTTCTCTGTCAGTGATGAGTTATACAAAGGTCCCACAAAGAAGGGTCCCTGCAGTGTGCAGAGATCTCCCAGCCCTAGTCCTGAGCTCAGTGGTGCGGCCCGTCATGCTTGCTGCTGAGAATCAGAGTGCTAACCATCAGACATAGGCTTCTTGTGTACAGTAAGTACATGCTCTCTGGCGTACAGTATGTGTCGACACTGGTGTTCGAAGGTGGTCCATAGCTATGTGGGGCAGGCAGAATGACTGCAGGAGTTCTGCTGTCTTCAGGAGAAGAGGTCTTAGGGGACAGTATTGGGCAGTCCATTGTGTGTCTGCCTCATGGGTGACCCGGGTGGATTGTGTTGGGGCCAGCCTTGGGTGTGTATGGGAGCCTGCACTGGCAGCACTGAATGTACATTAGAGTGAGTGGGTTACTGCCCTGAGTGCGCACATATGCCTGCAGGCTCTCTCCCTGAGCATGACAGGGGTGCAGGGTCCTGCCCTGAGCATGCACGGACCATGCAGATTCCTTGCTTGAGCGGGCCTAGGAGCATACAGAGCCCTGCCTAGAGCGTGTCTGAGCCTGCAGAGGTCTCCGAGCAGGCACGCTCTGTATTCCTAGTGTGCTGACCCCCAGCCTCCTCATTCTGACACATACCATGCCAGCCTTTCTTCCCCACTCTGCTCTCTTGGACTTTTTTCTCTGCTTTTGGCTGACAGCTCCAAGCCACTGGCACATCCAGCCCTTGACAGCAGCTCTGGCATCATCCCAGCTATGAGTAGCAGCAGTGCCTGCTAGAGGCAGCTAAGTTTGCTCCATTTTGTCTCCAGCTGTTTTGACAGACAACTCATAGCTTGAACCCTGAGCATGAAGGAAAGAGGAGCACTAGTGCCCCAGGAGCAGCCAGCTTTCTGCGCTGGAAGTGTCCAGGGTGCGTAGAGGCAAAGACAATGTAAGGGGAAGCAATGGGATGAGATTTGATGCCCAGACCAGGCTGAAAGACTGTAGCCACCCTTGGTGACAAGCCTGCCCCAGAGGGGCATTGGCAAACTCAGGGCTGCTCCTTGGGCCATGCTTCCAGACATCAGCTTTCCCTCAGTTCCTTGCTGTGGGACCTCACTGTGATTTTTTTACCCTCCATTTTGCCACAGTGGAATGAAAATGATGCATTTTAAAGGCCACTTGGACTGGGTCCTGCATGGTTGCCTGGGAAGTCTGAAGTTTCCCAGCAGATGAGCCGTGAATTAAATGCGCACTGAGCCCTCAGCATTGAAGCATCATGGAAGGAAGGGGTTTCAGTAACAGTCATCAGTATGAAGCCTAGGAAAAGCCCTTGTGTGTGTGTAACACTATTACAGTCTTACCCTACAGCCAACTACAAGTTTCTACCCTGATGCTGCAGAGCTCACCTGCCCTGCCCGTATTTCCAGCAGTCCTTGGGGATATCATGTCCCACAGCCAGATAGCCGGCCATCTGCATCACGTGTAGCGTGTAAGTGACCTTTATTAATGACACAGTGGGTGATTTCGTACAGATTGCAAACATGTTTTACATTCACAAATGACAGAGCTGAAAATGGCAGGAGTGTCAGCTTGTAGTTTAATGCATTTTTTTTTGGTTTATTCTAAAAAAACCCACCTAATGGAGTCTTAAAAAAGACACTGCTATGTTAGCTAGCTGGATGGATTTCCAGTGGAGCATGACAACTCCTGTTCATCATCATCCTCACCATCATCCCCATCACTTATAAAGTACTTTACTAATTAGTTAAGAATTATAACCTCCCACTTTCCCCATGGGAGAGCTATTATCTCCATTTTGTAATGAAGAAAACTGAGGCAAAGAGGTTAAGTCCTTGGGCTTCAGAGTAAGCTGCTGTTGACAGGTGGGGGATCAAAAGTGAGGTTTACCTGGGTCCTGAGGCTTATATTCAAGCATTAATGCACGCAGCCTTTGTACAGAAGCATGTGTCAGTACAGATCAGAGAATGGGGACAGTTGGGTAACATAATCTGCTGGCAATAGCAGATCATGGAGCGCTGTCTCCTACATCTTCTGACAGCCCTACACCAGATCGCTTGACTAGGTAACTGATGGGTATTCGGGGGGAAAGGAACAACTCAGTGACAGTCTGGTTATTATTCTGTAGCGTCTTGTGAAATGTGGGTTCAGACCTGAGTTCCTATTGGAGTCTCCAGGAGTGGCAGATTCTGGGTCTCAAAAAGTTAGTGGCATCATGCTCTCATCCCATCTTGGTAAGCTCATGTGTGAGCCACTGTTAGGGTTCATTGGACTTCATAGTATCATAGTACTTAGGGTCAGAAGGGACCTAAACAGATCATCAGGCTCGACCCCCTGCCCTGGGCAGGAATGGGTGCCGGGATCATATCACCCCAGCCAAATATGACTTCCACAAATGACTTCCTCATTTGTGCTCCATCCATAGCACAGATTTCAGCCACAGAGCCTGGATTTTCAGCTCTTGTCTCTAGCTCTGGTATTGATCAAGGTGGGGGCTGTCCTTGAGCTCTGCCATAGGAGGCCAAGGAGGATATGCGTAGGTGGGAATCCCATGTCCAACCACAGAATGGAAACATGGTGGGGTCTGTCACACTTGCAGAGGGAGAGCGGGGCAATCAGTGAGCGTGGTGGGTGTCTGTTGCTCACTGGCCAGCTGACAGGTGTGCTTTGGCAGCTGGGGGCAGATGCAGATCTCTCTATGCATTATGTATCTGTGTTATCAAAACCTTATGGCTAACAAATATACGGAAGTTTGTTTATTTACACACAAGCAGAGGGAAGCAAGGAAGGTGCCCTTCCGCATCAACTCCAGAACAACCTGTCCCAGTTTTCTGTGACTGGGCTTCCACTTCCATCATTCAACATTACTGTCTCCTGGCGTGGTTTAGGCCCCATGTCTAAGCCTAAGTCTAAACCTCATACCCAGTCCCTGCTATTGCATTCATGCCCTCTATACACAGCAGCCGCAAGCTACAATCACTGCCTGGTGTAATTGCAGCAAAGCAGACAAAATAATCCCATTTAACCACACCTGCATATTGATAAACATGTTGACAGAGCTGGCTGTGGAAGGGATTTCTGTACACATGCACAGGCTTGTTGTGTGCACAAGTGTGCACAGGCACCCAGCAGGCGATTCAAGTTTCAAAGAGGCGAGTTATATCCCTCCATGCTGGGATACCACAGCCTATCGGTTCATTCCACCCAGGGTAGGCAGGATCAGAAGCCCAGCAAAGTATAAACAGAAGGGCTCCAAAAGCAGATTTTCCATCCTGCAAAAAATTGAAATGTCAAACTTTTTTTTCATTCCAAATTGGGCCCAAAAGCAAAAATTGCAAAAAAAAAATTCTACAAAACAAAATTTTAAGATGAGATTCTTTTGGCTTCCATGACCATTTCATTTCAACCCATTTAAACCGTTATAATGTCAAAATATTTTAAAATTGAGATACTTTGCCTTTTAAAGTGCTTAAAAACAAAATAAAGCAAATTTTGAAGCAAAATGTCTTTTAAAAATGAAAGATCATAACGTTGTGTTCCAAACTTATTAACCTGGGACATTTCTAAGTTTCTTTACAAATGTCATTGAAAGTGAAAGCAATTCAGGAATCATTTTGGAGGCATCAAAATAGTGTTTCCTAATGGAAAATTCTTTCAACAAAGTATCTCAACCATCTGTCCAAGCAATGCACTGCTGCTCATCTCTCTCTCTCTTTCAGGACAGAAAATCCTCTCAGGGCCTGCGACTGAGCTCCTCTAGAGCACTTCTGCCAGACAGGGCCAGGAGGGAATTGGCCCATCCCTCCCCATAACTTGGTGGGTGTCTAATAGGTCCCCTTTTGCGGGGACCCATTTATTTCCCAGAAAGCTGAAGATTGTAACTGCAGTTATTCCTATCAAAATAGCATGCACCTTGCAGGACTGGACATAACTAAGCACAAGTAGTGGGCCCAGAGAACAACCTCCAGTGGGCTGTTATGATGCACACTCCCTTCTACAAAACCAGGCCCCACTTTGTGATTCCCCAGAGTCCTTCTTCTCCTTCAGCCCAGACTCTCCAGTCTGCATCACATCCTGGAACTCTCCTCTGTTTCAACGACTGGCTCCTCTTCTTGCCCTCACAGACCTCAGTTTGCTAGATATTGAAAACCACAGTGAACAACTCATCTTATTAGTCCCGAACAATTTCTTTCATGCTGGAATTTGGAAACTCGCAGCATGGCTGCAGTAATCCCTGTAATCCCCTGTCACTCCCCTGGTGGTCTGGAGCCTCCTTAGTGAATTTCAATGTGTGACAATTACAGCAAGAACAATCAGATCACCCTTTGCCCCTGAGAAAAGCAGAATCTGTGCAGTCAGAAAGTATTTGTCACTCAGACGTATATGCTAATATTGTGTCTGAGCCTGCCATCCACTCCACTTTGGTTAGGGAGTAATGGCTGGGTGGGGACCATACATGCCTGATGACCATTGACCAAACTGAGCTAGAGAGAGAGGGCAACAGAGCACTGTGTATGCAAGTCTACAGGTAAGGGTGAGTCCTTCTTGCACAACAGCCTGTGGACTAAGCAAGTTCTTTTTCCCAGAGCTACAGAGGAGACCTCCTCTTCTCTGCCTGTACCTGATATATTCGTAGCAGAGCCTTGATTTGAGGTACTGTGTTTTCTCAATTCAAACCCTGCCTTTCCCTCTCCAGTCCCTAAAGAAAGTCCCATGCTCTGTCCATTGCAAAGAAAAGCAGCAGAGCGTGTGGAGCAGAAGAGTTACAGCGTAAAGTGTGTCCCAATAGCCTGGCTCCCCTTGACTCCTCCAGGCTGGTGCCATAGCAGGAGCCTGGGAATCAGGGAAGACTTACTGAGCCCTAAAGATTCTGTGTGTAGGTTATATCAGAGTTGGCTCTCTGCAAACTTCAATTATTGTATTATGCAAAATCTCAGCATCATGTATCTCTCTCCAGAACAAACATATTCAGCCAACGTGACATGTCTCCTCTCCCCTTCCATCCTAGGTCCCCTTTTTCTTTTTGGTGGAATAGAGATCCTGGATCCACAGAGGTGGTGGCAATTGGCTTCTGCCCAAAACTTGCTCCTGCCTTCTGGTCTGCTCTACTCCAGACACAGCTTTCTGTCAGATACCCCCAGTAGGCTCCCAAGACAAGAGAGCAGCGAGAGCCATGGCTGTTTTCCTCCTGCTGATTTTTCATGGTAGGAGTGCTCCCATGTATTTGTAGACCCACACTGTCTCTCTGCTGCAACCCAAACCAGGACACAGATATTCAAGGACATTCTCAGTAGGGCTCATCCCGCATCACCGCATCCACATTCCAAAATTTCTGAGCAGAAATGGAAGCAACCCAAAACCCTGCTTTCCAGCAACCTTCTCCTCAGCATCTCCAGCTGGCAGGGCAGGGCAGGGCAGGGCAGGGCAGGGCAATACACTTTGGCACAGGCTAAAAGAAAAAGCTGTAGGATTTGAAAAATAAAAAATAAATACTACATCTTCCTCACGCATGTCATCCAATGACCCCCCATGCCCTTCTTGGCACCCGGTCCCCCTCTTCATTCAGTCCCATAGAGAACACTGCTCCTTTAGCTTTGGTGCAGTCAGGTGGTCACTGCAGAGTCCCAAAGGGCTTGTCATGTAAACAGTCATCATGAGAATGGCAAATGTCTTGTACTCTGCCACACAGGTCTCAGTGTGTGGGAGATCTGGTTTCCACTTCCTATTGCAGCAATTTTGGCACCTCCACCTGCCAAGATAAAATGGTCTATTATTTTTCAGTGCAGCACTAGAGACCAGCGGGCATTAGAGGGAGTTGTTGGAAAGGCTGGGGCTTGTTTGTCTTTCAGTGAATCGTAAATGAATGAAAGTCCTGCATTAGCAGCTCTGGGGACCGAGTCTCTACCTGATGAGCTGACATACTGCAGGCAACTGCTCGAGACCCTCCCCGCTATCCCAGCTCACGAAGAGTTCGGTGGTCCTGAGAAATTCAGAGTTTGGACTTCCCTCTGTTGGCCAAAAAGACAGCTAACTGGAAGGAAGTAGGAATCTGCTCATTAGGAGGCCATTTAGCTGGAGCCACAATTCATTTTACACAGATCACCATGCTGTCGGCAGTTCAAGATGAGTGGCACAGCCACCACGACTGCCCCCCGAGTCACTAGCTTTTATTACGAAACCTCAGTCTTCATGCCAAGACAGCCAAAACTTGGGGTTTATATGACAGCATGGACTTCAGCATTGTTCTGGGCGCTGGTAAGGTGAGGTCTACCTCATTAATTACATGTGAGGCCTAAGCTCTGTGACACCTGGTACATACATCTGGGATAACATTGCACATTTGTCAAAGGCCTATATCCTTATAAATTGGTCATTAAGGGAGAATTTGTTGACAGTCCTCAGCATCATAATGTAAAGAAATGTCTAATATAAAGATCTAGGACTACAAACCAGAACTTTGCTACACTGATGAAAAAAAATCTAAACATGGAAAAACTGTTAAATATAGATAAAACATTGCAAAATATAAAATAAATTAAGAAGGAAAGGGAACTTTGAAGCTGATGTATAGAGCAAAACTCAGGACTAGCAAAACTAGTGCTAGTTCTTTATTACCTATTGATTTAAAATAAAAAATAGTAAAAAATATAAATTAACATTTTATAAATTCAGGGGGAAAGAATTTTCATCACAGTACAAAAATTTAAAGCATTCTTTTTTAACCATGAGCATAAGGGCTTGGAAAATCCTGACTCACTTACTGCCACCTAATGATATAGATGAGATTTAAGGCTATTGCGCTAACTGAGACAAAACCTTTGGTCTCAGGAAATAGCCAAGGATTTCAAAGGAAAGGGGAACAGAATTTGACTGCTGAAAATAACTGCCCAGAATTCTTCACCCTGCGGATTTGAAGTCCATGTGCTTTAATGGGGCACATGATGAGCGGGTCTAACTAACCCAGGGGTGGGCAAAATGCGGCCTGCAAGCCTGATGTGGCCCTCCAGGCCAGTCTATCTGGCCCGCAGGGCCCCTAAAAAAATTAGAAAATTAATATTTATCTGCTCCAGGCTGCCTGTCATGCGGCCCTCAATGGCTTGCCAAAATTCAGTAAGCGGCCCTCCGCCCAAAATAATTGCCCACCCCTGACAAGGAAATGACCATAGTGGAGTACCATGCCCTGCCTCTGATTGGCTTTATCCCCCTCAGCCAACAGAGCTGTCCAAAGGAAAATAGGCCTTGCAAGTAAAACAAATATAGTGCAGGATGTGCTCGTAGTCAGATGCCAAAAGGCCGAGACAGGGGGAATCTTGAGCTACATCTGAAATTTGGTTACCATAAAACAGTGTATCAATATTCCATAGAGGCTCCAGGTCCAAACATCCCTGTTTCAGCCCCCCACTTGCCTTCTTTAGCTGTTTGACATTGCTGGATCGAATGGCAGCCAAAAGCTGATCCCGTGAATTCTCCTGAGCAGGAGGTGCTTTTTCTGCCATCTTCCTCTGCGTGGCCGGAGAGAGCGAATTCCTTAGGATCAGCGGTGGAGCCAATGGAGGTGGGGGTGGGGGAGGTGCAGCTGGAGCCCCAGCCTTTTTAGGAGAACTTTTAGGGGAAGACCAGGGGGATGATTTGGGGGATGGTTGCGGTGAAGGCTTGGGGGAGCCTTTTGGCAGGCCTCCTACTTTGGGCACTTCCAGCAGGTCCTTCTTCTCCCCCCGCTCTTGAGCTTGTTTCTGCTCCTGCAGTCGTTTCTGCCTCTGCTTGTCCATGTTCCTGCTCAGCAGATTTGTGACTGTCATACGGGGACCTGCCAGCTCAAAATGGTAGCCCAACTTCAGAAGGGTAGTGTTCTCTTTTAGTAACTTGGCTATCTCCATCTCTGTCTTGCCTCCACAGATGTGCCTCTGATTATGGAAGCGCAGCTCTGTCAGGACGTTGTTCTGCAGCAGTGCACGGAAGATGGCCAAGATGCCTTTGCCTGTGATGTGATTAGAGTCCAGATTGATGCTGGTCAGCATCTTGTTTGACTTCAACAAAATGGAAATGGCAAAAGCAACATGGTCGTCAGCACGAGTATTAGCCAGTGCAAACACTTTGACCACAGTGTTAAATTCCAGGGCTTCTGCAAAGCGCACCAGGATTTCATTGGTTATGCAGTCAGAGTTATTAACATTGACTTCTGTGGTCTCTGGGTCATTATTTTTCACTCTTTCTAAGATTTCATCAAACATACTCGAAGCTGCATCTTCCTCCTCCTCGGTCGGACCTGGAGGGGTGTCAGCAGGTTTGGCAAGGCTGTTCTCAGGGACCTGTTTTGTCTCTTTCTCTGTTGCTGGAGGAATTTTTTCCTCTGATGCCTTTTTGGAGTCAGTAAGTGATTTCTCTTTGCCATCAGCTGTGGAATATTTCTTTAAAGCAGAGCTCTTTGTTTCTTCTTTTTTATCCTTTTCTTTCTTCTCTTCTTTTTTATCCTTTTCTTCTTTTTTATCCTTTTCTTTCTTCTCTTCTTTTTTATCCTTTTCTTTCTTCTCTTCTTTTTTGTCCTTTTCTTCTTTTTTATCCTTTTCTTTCTTCTCTTCTTTTTTGTCCTTTTCTTCTTTTTTATCCTTTTCTTTCTTCTCTTCTTTTTTGTCCTTTTCTTCTTTTTTATCTTTTTCTCTCTCTTTCTTTAATGCCAAACTTTTCTCTGCTTCCCTTTTATCCTTTCCAAATTCTTTCTTTAGAGCTGTAATCTTCTCATCTTCTTTTCTATCCTTTCCTATCAGTTTTTTTTCCATGGCCTTGACTTTATCATTGGGAAATTTTCCCTCTTTGTGTTTACTGTCTACTTCATCTTTCTCTTTTTTACTGGTTTTCTGAAGAGTTTCTTCCTTTTTGCTCTCTTTTCCCAGTGCAGGAACTTGTTTCTTGCCCAGGTCTTTGGAATGAGCTCCCTTCCCTTTTTCTTCAAGGTTTTTGAGCTCTTTCTTCTTCTCTGTTTGTTTCCCTTCCTACCAAGAAAAAAAAAGGATGAAACAAGCAACTATTAGGTTCAACTTCCATGACTATGTAGCACGTTAACAAAATAGTTGGGCACTGGGCAGTGTTGTTTCAGTGTTGCGTATACTACAATGTCAGTAGCGCTAATGCCAAGTGATTGTAAACTCTATTTCTATTTAGATTTTTAAACAGTAGATTAATAGTCTTTGGTATTAATCTAGGTCATCACAGGGCACAATATATATACAGACACATTAACAAAGGAGTGTAATAATACATACAGCATATATGTTGTTCACGAGAAGAATGTAGGAATCAGACCCACAATTCATCTAGTTCAGTATCCTGTCTCTAACACTGACTATAGCCAGGTGCCAGTAGATAGATATAGGATAATCTTTTCCTCTTAAAGTTCATCTCTTAATCTCAGCTACTGAGAATCTGTCTTGAAGAACTAAAGCACAAGGTTTAGTGTCCTTTTCAAAACTGCTGCTGTCATGTCCTATTCTAACTCTGAATGAATGACACCCAATCCTAACTGGCTCAGCAGCCACATGAGTAGTCAGCATTAATAAAAAGACCCAACACCATAGACATTCCTAAGTGAATTGTAGCAAACCCATTCCAGTTCAAAAGAAAAAATCTGTAGTCCTTGTACCACGTTTGAGGGCTCGTGCTCTGTTTTTATGACTGCAGGAAAGACATGCCCAATGCATGCAATAAGAAAAATCTTTGATAACATGTTCCATGATGAGCTGGAAACAATATGTTAAGAGTTAAATGTCTAAAGCTGCTGTTCCAGGTAATCTAGGTATCCATTCAAGGGATGGCCAATGATGATAAATCCAGGTATCCACAGAAATTTCTGATTCTTCTTTGAAACTTGCAACATTCTTGGCTTCAATGACACCAGCAGTTCCAGTCTAATTGCACTTGGAATGAAACAGTTTTGATTTTGAATTTGTCACCCTTTGATTTCATTCACCGTTCCTCTGTTACAAGATAGGCCAATGCTCAGCTTTCCCTAGATCATGTTATGATAAGGTGTAAGAGTGATGTTGTAGCCATGATGGTCCAGAAATTATATGAGAGGCAAGAATATCTTTTATTGGACCAAGTGTAGAGTTGGAATAGAGTTAGACAAGCTTTTGAATGCAAGGTGACCTGATGAGGAATGTCTTGCATTTGAAAGTTTGTCTAACTCTATCCCAACTCTACAGTTTGTCCAATCAAAGATACCACCCTAAGAAATCCTTGCCTCTTCCCTAGACTATTCATTATTTTGTTGTGTCCCCTCTTACTTCCTTCCTTTGTAAAATAACATCCTAACCTTTTCAACCTCATCAGAGGAGAGATTTTCCAGCTCCTAATTATTTTTATTGCCCTTTTCTGAACCCCCTCTAGTTCTGCATTATCTTTTGGAGATGGGTGGACAATAAAAGGCCCAAGATTTCATGTGAGGGTGCACCATTGATTTATATAATGACATTATGATATTTGCAAAAGGCAAGGATTTTTTGGGGTGCTAGCCTTAGACTAATTGCATAGCTGGGAGATATTTTAGACACAGTTGGTCCAGTAAAAGTTTCCTCCCAAAAAAATCCTCGCCTCTCACATACCAGTGGTTCCTGGACCATTGCAGTTACAACATCACTCCGACATTACTGCTATGGAGTTTCCCATTTTATTCTTTTCATGCCTTTTAATGTCCTGTTTGCTTTTTCAACTGTAGCTGCACCCTGCACAGAAGTCTCTATTGATCCTGTTGTACTATTCCCCTTCCTGAGTCGGTAGAGCTAATTTAGCACCCTGAATATTTTAAATTCCCTGCTGCCCTTTGTTTGTATTACTATTCATTTATCAACTTTAAATTTGATCTGTCATCGTGCTGCTTGTCCACCTAGCCTGGTTAGGGCCCCCTAAAGCTCCTTGCAGTCCTCTCTGGTCTTAACTAAGCTAAAATCTTTGCACCATTTTTTCCCAGACAGTTTTTCATCTATGACAATATTTTGTCTCTTGCCAGGCTACTTAGCTTCTTTAACAGTTTATCGTGGGTGAGCTTAGGCTAGATCCACATAGAGAGATAGAAGTCTAACTGCTACACTGGACAATTATATTCAAATGTTTATCCTCAAAACCTACCGTCTAACCCTGGAGGTACCTAAATTGCTGACCCAGGGTACAGGAGAAAACAAGAAGTCTCAGCAGGAGCTGGCAGCCCAGTGCCAGACGAGGTCTTCCCCACCACACCTCCTCTGAGCATCCACAGACACAGTCCAAGCCCATAAGTCAAGAGGCTGGGTTGTGCCTCGGTGCCTCCTTTTGAGCCATCAGTCTCTGATGTTTCACTGGTAAACTTCTGGGTTTGGTGTCTGTCAGCAGACTCGGGTGGCTGAAGCGTGCAGGGACCCGCCACTGCTGCTGTGTAGACAAGCCCTGTGAGTAGCATCTGCTACACGGGCAAGTGCTAACCTTGCACCTGAAGCACAAATCGGAATAAATGATCTGTAGTTTGTGTCTGTCATGTGTAGCAATGGTCTCCTGTAAACTCTGTTTCAGGCTCATTATCTTGTACCTCACTGTATCCCTTTTATGGCTTCCTAAAAGGTAGTGGGACTTGTCTTGCAGTCACTGAACTGCCTACTTTAAAGTTAGCGTAGTCCTCTGCACACAGGGCTAGGGTGACCATGCATCCCTAATTGGGTGGGACAGTCCCAAAGTGTAAGCATCAAGTCCCAGGGACAGCATTTGTCCTGGATTCCCCTTGGCACAGTCAAACAACTAGCATCCCAGTATCATGTGCAGGGATCTATGTTTTCCATTTAACTCAGAAAAAAACTTGGATTCTCTCCTTTAAAGGAGAAAAACATGAGAAACCACTGGTTTCCCCTTGCAGGCTGGCAGAGTACCAGTCTGCAAGGGACTACTTGGGGCGATGGGGAACAGGACACAAAGGGGCACCATGTGCATGTGAGCATGTGTACATACGCACATGGCCAGCAATACAGCTAGGCAGCAGTGGAGAGCAGCTCCCCGAGGTGCCTGCAGGTAAATCTATGGGGGGAAGGGGGCATAGGTGAAGCAGGGGCAGGGGGCAAAGGGGGCAGACTGAAGCCCCCACAGTGAGGGAGGGAGCAGGGCAGGGTTGGCGCCTGGGGCTGAGGCCTGTCCAGGGTAGTGCATGGGGCCTGGGCTGCAATGCACAGCTGCGGGGCCCAGCCAGGGAGCGGGACAGAGCCATGGGCAGCTTGTCCAGGGGGCAGCAGGGGGGGGGCATGTGTCCCACTTATGTATTTTGAAAAGGTGGTCCCCCTACACAGGCTACATGGAATAGGTTCGGCCTGTGTGCTAATCACTGTTGCTAGTAGTATTCCTGTCTTCCCTAAACGTTCAGAAGAGAACGGAGGAAGCTGGACCTCACAGGGAGGTGGCCAAGGTTCTCTGCTCAGGGGTAAGCACCGGGCATGCACTGAAGTCCACCTAACAGACAGCTTGACAGTAAGGTGAGCTGTTAGACCGGGCTCAGCTGCTGTGACTATTATGAGGGCTCAGGTTCACAGGAGGGAAGACAGGATGCTCCAGATGTCCCAGCAGCCATACTACCTTGTTCCTGGAAGGAATGAGGACATGGCCGAGAAAGAAACTTCTCTGTGTGGGGCCTTTGACACTTGGGAGTTTAAGACCGACCTCTCAGAACAACTTTTTCTATGTTTAAAAATTGCAAATTGTCCCCCCGCCAAATATTGCAAATTCTCTGAATAAAAAACAAAAATCCATGTTTTTCTGCAGTTAAAATGAAATGCCACTATATATACATATATATATATATATATAAAATACCTATAAATGTTGGTGTTTGATTTTGGGTTTTTTGTCATGGAAAACCAGAGCTTCCCCTGCTTCCCCTGCCCCTTTTGCTCAGGACGTGGGTCCAGTGTGGCTGTTGCCCCCCGCCTGCTGCCTGCTTTGTGGCACTGAGCAGCCATGATATGCTGGTACCCTGCCTATGCCATTGCCCCTCACTTCCCACCCACAGCTCCCACCCCTGCCGGAGTTGCCAGGGCTATGGGGCTGGGGACCTGGGTCCACAGCCCCCTGCCCTCCCCAGTAGCATTCAAGCCCTGTACATGCATGTGGCTCCCCCCGCCTGACCGCCCTCCTCCCACTCCCCCCAGCCCCTTGCAGGCTGGAACCCTGCTAGCCTGCAAGGGGAACTGTTTCCCATGTTTTTCGCATTTAAAGGAGAAAATCTACGTTCTTCTCTTTTAAATGAGAAAATCCACCTTTTTTCTCCTTAAAATGAGAAAATCCACATTTTACCGCATTTCTCCATGGCAAACAGGAAACATGGATTCCTGCTTGTAAGTCGTCCCTATCAACAAACTCAGTTACAGGGGAACTCCAGAACCACCTGAAATGAAATTCCAACCAAAAGAATCGAGCCAGCAGCCCAAATCTGAATGGCCTTTGCTTCAGGGATTTTTGTGTCTGGCTCAGGCCCATCTCTGCTTGAATTGTTTCCATGGTGCGCAATGTACAGGTTGCCAATTCTGTGCTGCTGAATGTGCATACAACAAGAATTTTTTCTTTGGAAAAAACTGGCTTTGCTCTAAGCAGAGCTGCCCTTGGATACTGTTTGTACCTGGAGTATAAACAGACACCATTTGGGACATGATTTCTGTTTATTTAGCTAAGATTTTTCTTGGCTCCTCATCGTGGATCTAAACATGCAGCAAAAGGGTATATACCAGACAGCTAAACAGTCCTGCATCCATGATTCCTGCCAGTTCCTTCCTATCCAGCCTGGAATGCAAACTACCAAGCCCTGTTACCCATCTGGGAGTGTGCTGCTGGGGGGAGGGTGTCTGAGGAGCTCCCCCTTCCTTGCAGCCACTGGAGTAAAGTATGACCTGCAGCCTTGTCTTTTCTTTTTGTTATTCTGGATCTAGCTCCCAAGAGAAGGAAACTTGATCTTGTCTCAGTGGTGGAAGAAAAGGAGCTGGAGTGACTC